ATCTGCTCTTTGATTATTAAATTTTTCTCCAAGAGATAGTTGCTTAAACGCTGTTTGAGAATGGATGTAAACAATTTGCTTAAAGTGTTGAGGAGAGTTATCCCCCTGTAATTACCAGGGTCTGTAGAGTCACCTTTTTTGAAAATTAGGGTGATGATCCCTAGGTCCCAGGTGTTAGGGTATTGGCCACTAGCTAATATCAAATTAAAAAGTTTATCTAATGATTTTGTTAGTGTGTTCCTGCCTGCCTTAATCAAAATGGCTGACCAGTGGCAATTTTGTTTTAATTAATGCTGTTCCAGCGCAATATCTCTCAATATGGACAAGTACTCGTTTGACGATCAGAAACAAGATGAATAAATGTCAATCATTTCAATGTTAAAAAATCACCTTAATCAAGCATCAGCTTCTGCATCCATATCTTAGACATGTTTTCGTTACAACTATATTACTATAAAAAAAGCTATATATATCTTAAGCTTGATAACTAACGGGGACTGTGTCATGCATGGCTTGTTCATTTGTGTATCAATATGTCCGACTCAATGTCTCGCTACCTCTTTGGAAACCAGCAATTTTGGCGTTTTCATCTGCCGATTGAACCTAATTATAGCTAGCCGTTTCCTTTCATTTATTCATTTGCCCCTACAAATGTTATAGAACAGTATTTTATGTGACAACAAACTTGAAAATCATTGCCGTAACTTCATCGATATTTTCTAGGATTCTATGATTTCACTTTTTCAAAATGTTTGAACACAGAATAGGACACAGTATGATGGCACAGATTACGACGCAGAATGATGGCGCACCTAGCGGCCAAACAACGCCTATTATCGGAAGTCGAACATTCTATTAAACATTTTAAAACACACAGAGCAGTAATGCAGTTTTATCATCGACCATTGTTGAGCCATTGCTCGAAACGTCTAGCTATTTTTAATAGTTATTTAGGACTACGATTACCAAATATTATCTTCTATATACCTCTATTCTAATTGTTTTAACATGTTGTATGTGCATTTTACTCTTGAGATGCATTTCACATGTTTAGGTCATGTGGTTGGGCGTCTATATTAGCTGGTGGTTTTTAACCTAATTACTATGCATAACGGTTATATCTTAAGCTCTGTTGAAGGTAGGATAATAAGGATAAAAATTGAACATGTGTAATTGTGAATACTAAACTAGAAATCTGACTAAAATCAGATGACCATGTATGGTCAGGTGAACTCATCAATATGCATAACTGTCATATCTGGAACGAGACATGCTACCAGTGCCATAATTAAGACATCAAACAAAATATGTACCAAATATAAAAGATAGTCATATATGATCATATAACCTCATTAATATGCATGGTTTATTATTTATTTTGAAAACCATATCTCAATAACTAAACCAGGTACATGGAACAAACTGCATTTCGACCTCATGGTACTGATCATTCAAACTTCTCAGTGACCACATTAATTATGAAACGAAATCCTGATAGCCTGAATACTGTCGCGTCTTTAATATATTATCGTGATATTATGTAATTGTAGGAGGACAAGGTGGAGGATGTATGAGAATTGTTTACGAGATTGCTAATGTCTCAGCACCTGACGCAGCAAAAACTCAGTAATGTAAAAGTTGTGTTTTAAATGCCAGGTTTGGATATTATGAGTATTTTACAATGGTTTATGTCAAAATCAAGTGGTACGGACATTGTAGAACATAAACTTTCTATATTATATATTTCATAGTGACATGCTCAGGCATTAGACATTTTACGGATTTAATCATTCTGTAATAATGTGTTCATTACATGTTTGTCTTTTATTTCTGATAACGACGACTGAAGCATAGCAGTATTTGTACCTACACTAATGATTGAATATTATGAGATTAAACATTTATTGTAAGACATGTGTTCTTTATTACAATTTACTACAATTTAGAGGAATATACCGATGTAATTACTAGCTACTGGGATACCTACGTCCGTTCAGGCTGCAGTGCGTGATATAAGTTGTTTTACAAGCTGCTCACCGAGATAGAAACCAATTGTCATTTTCAATAAGTTGACAATGTAGAAATAATAGAGGAATAAAAAGCACACATAGAGGAGTGTGAAAATAAAGCAAGTGTGATATACAGAAGCATTAATTAAGTAAACTTAAAAAGTAGTAATGATGGCAGTCACTCTCAAGTATTTTGCAGGGGTGAGGTTTTCATAGAGTCCCTTCATCTTTAAATCTAATCCAGACACTCCAGTGCATCTACTTCCATTTTAATTGCATTTGGCTTTCTACAAGACGTATGTGATATTTGGGAGGTTCAAATTGTAGTGTTACGGTTACGACCCATCCAAAGCTCATGGAACTATTTCCCTTTTATTTAATCCAATAGCATTTATTTCGGTTTGAAAATATAAATACCATGTACAACAGTATCATAAGAGCCACAGAAATTGTTTCCAACTTTGTTTTCAGAGGTTCATACAATTTATAGGGGTAAGTTATC